TGATGGCCCTGGGGCTGGCGCTGGGGCCATCGTGTCCCCCTCCCTCCGCCCCCTTCTCACTGAAAACTAACCGCTTGTCCAGACAGTAACCTCTGTTCTAGGAGCATTTATGTTGGGGTTAGAGCTGCAAGCCACCGGGGGGCGCAATTCATCCCTACCTGCCAATATGGGAGGTGCAGGGGGGCGGGGGGATAGCTGGTTTGGCTCAATGGATAGAGCATCGGCCTGCAGACTGCAGGGTCCCAGGTTCGATTCCGGCCAAGGGCACATGCCTGGGTTGCAGGCTTGATCCCCAGTAAGGGGTGTGCAGGAGGCAGCCAATCAATGATTCTCTCTCATCATTGATGTTTCTATTTCTCTCTCCCTCTCCCATCTTCTCTAAAATCAATAAAATATATAAAAAAATTTGGGGGGCGTCCCCCCACTCAGTGCTCCAAGGCAGAGAACGCCTGCCTGCCGCCCCTCCTATAGCAGGCGCTCCCTGCAGCGTCTGAGAATTGGAGGTGTTAAGGCACCTGTAGCTCGCTTCTCCCCGACAGCATAGCTGAAGCCTCGACTCCCCTCCACTTCTCTGGGGCCCCCTGTTTCCCACCCTGGGCAGGTGGAGGGACCTCTCATCCGCCAGCCCCCGACCTTGTGTCCAGGCCTGTCCGGCTGCCCTTGGTCCCCACCATCCCTGCCATCCACGATGCATCAGACAAGGGGAGACCTGGGGGGTGGGGGTGGGGGGACCCATGCGGCCAGGGCACCCGTGGGGGCCCGAGGCCAGGCGCAGCCGCTCTGGGGGACAGACAGGGGCCTGGGTGAGGCAGCCGGGAGGGTGCTGGTCTGAGACACCCCCCCAACACTCCCCCCGCAAGCCAGGCCACAAGGGAGAGTGGGAATCTGATGGGGGGGCCTGGGTGCCGGGAGCAGACACCTGGGGGCCTTGATCCGGTCAGTAGGGGGCCGGCCTGACTCTGAGTCCTGAGGGCCACAGGTTTTTTGATTGTTTGCTTTTAGTCGTCTTTAAATTGAATTTTAGAAAAAGAGGAAGGGAGAGGGAGAGAGACAGCAACATGGATTGGCTGCCTCCTGCATAGTCCAGCCGCAACCCAGTCATGTGCCCTGAGCGGGAATCCAACTGGCAACCCCTGGGGTCACGGGATGATGCCCATCCCTGGGTCACCCCGGTCAGGGCTGGAGGCCGCAGGTTAGCAGGACACCTGCCCCGCATCTGGGTCTGCGGGGACTCACCCTGGCGGGGGGCTCCGGCCGTCAGCAGCGGGGCCCTGGTGGACTTGGCCTGCTTGGGCGGCCGGGGGCTCTTTCTCCGGGAGCTGCTCTGGGGGGTCCCAGCCGGGCGGGGGTCTGGGAGGGAGACAGGAGGGAGGTCAGAAGCCACTCACCCCTCCTCCTGCCTGGGGGCTGTGAGGGGCCCTCCGGGGTTGGGGAGGCCCGGGTCACCCACTCCAGGCATCTCCCCACCCACCCATTCACCACCATGCTGCACACTCCAGCGAGACTTAGCTCCCTCCTGTTCTCAAACACCTTTCTCTCTTGCCTCTTGCCTTTGCACGTGCTGTTCCCTGGCCTGGAACAGCTCTCCCTGCCTCACCCCGCTGACCTGCGGAGAGCCGTGGGTCTATGGGGGGGGGGCCCCAGAGAGGCCAGGCAGGCCCCTGGGTCCTGAAGGGAGAGCCCCGGCCCCTCGAGTGACGGGGCTGAAGACGGGGTCCTCACCTGCGCAGACGACCCCCGCGTCCTCCTCGTGGGAGCAGACATGGGCCTTCCAGCCCCGGTGGGTTTCCTCCATTTCTGTCCTTTGTGTCCTGTTTCTTTGTCTTGGCATTTTTATGCTTCACTGTGTCGATAGAGTGGCTTTCTGTGCTAAGTGTCCCAATTACCTGAGGTAGACACTCTTGGTGCACCCCCTTGTGGTCTTTGTGCGCAGTCTTGTTGTAGCTAAGCCTTGATTGTTGTAGGAC